GACCTGTAGTGAGGTGGGGCAGTGTCTTCTGCCATGTTTGTAACAAGAGAAAATGGCCTTAAGCTGAGGAAGAGGAGATCCATAAAAGATATTAAGAAAAAAATTTCACCATTATGGTGGTCATGCATTGATAAACGTTCTCCAAGTCTGTGATGAGATCACCATTGCTGAAGATATTTTAAAGGCATCTGTTTCTGGTGCTGGGCGATGTGGTTTAGTAGGGGTAGCAGTGGTAGTGTTGAATGGTTGGACTGAATGACTCTGAAGGTCTCTTCCAACCTTGAGGATTCTGTGATTCAGTTTTGGGTCCCTCACTACAAGAAAGACATGGAGGTGTTGAAGTGAGAGGGGCAACAAAGATGGTGAAGGGTCTAGAGAACAAGTGTGGTGAGGAGCACCTGAAGGAACCTGAGGGGTTGATTAGCGTGGAAAAAAAGGAGGCTCGGGGGACCTTTTTGCTCCTTACAGCTACCTGTAACAAGGTTGTAACCAGATGGCGCAGGTTGGTCTCTTTTGCTAGGTATCAAAGGAAAGAACAAGATTAAATTGTCTCAGGTCTAACCAGGAGAAATTTAGTTTGGATATTAGGAACAATTTCATCATGGAAAGGGTTGTCAAACATTGGAAAGGCTACCAAGGGAAGTTGTGGAATCACCATTCCTGCACGTATTTAAAAGACATGTAGATGCAACACTTGGGGACATGGTTAATGACGGACTGGGCAGTGCTGGGTTAAAGGTTGGACTTCACAATCTTATAGGTCTTTTCCAACATAAATGATTCTATGTTTCTATGAAAAATCTAGAAGAACCAGAAGACCCAGAAAAAGATGTGTAGCCCATGTGAATATATTACTCCATCACTGAGTCTCATCACAATGGAAATAAAAGCCAACATAGTTGTTTGACATGATGGTTTTCTGTTCAAGTGAGCAGGATCAATGCAATTGGTTGAGCAAGGGAATTCTTTCTCAGCACTGAAAGTACAAAATGCAAACGATTTCTTCCAATGAACTTCTGTCTTTTACTACTGGTGTCAGACAGACAAATAGAGGCAGACAAATGAAGGAGGAATGACAACACTGAAGAGGAGAACAGTCTATCAGAAGTTATTGCTATTAGTGCTTGGTCCATGTCATCAGCCATCTGTCCTGCCTCATTTATCAGCTTCTTTGGAATACAAGTGTGCTGTCACAGGCATTGTCACACAAGCGCTAGTTTCTGCCTTAAAGAGTTGAGACAAATCAATGAACTTTGTCACTGTACCACTTCTAGACCACAGTGTCTGACATAAATGACTGACATAAACTACTTCACTTGACATGAAACAGCTGCTTTCCCGCAAAATACAGGCCACTCCCCAGAATACCCACCAGTTAATAGGAATTGCTGGCAATTGTCAATTTGGCATCTATTGGGTGAAGAAAAAACAGTGACATGTCCCATCTGTGGCAGAGAGATGCAACATGACTTTAAAGAGGGCTTGTGAGGGCAGTGAGATTCCCAAATGTGCACATGGTAAAAGGAGTCCACCTGCATCTTCAGGTGGAGGTACATACCTCTAGCATTGAACTCCTGACTGGTAGAAATAATCGGGAGTTAAACCCCTGCATATTTGAAATGAACCTTTCTACATGATTAGTAGGATATGAACATTTAAACTCTGTTAATAAGACACTGATTTCTTGTTGGGACACAATGACCAGAGACCAGCACTCTCTGACACACAGCGCAACTGTTGCCTATTTGGACTCAGGGCCTTGACACAAATCAGCCACAAATCAGAGAAACTGGGCCTCTAGTTGCAGGAACAATCCATCATCATTTCTGTGGCCTGGATCACTCTATTTAGGTAAAAATAAATCTACTTTAATAACTCAGGAGATTCTTTCCTTTCCGCTGAAACATAATGAGTTTTCTTTACATTTTACAGCTTGATGTAAGTATCTATGTGTCCTCCCATCATCTTCCCACCTTCTGAGACAGTGATTTAAGTGTCAGCCTTACTACTACCCTAAATACATGCTCAAGTCTCAATAGTTGTGTTGAAGGTGGCTTAACTAGTGACTGGGAAACAAAAATAGGGAAAAATTAAAATGGCCACAAAGTCTGATAGTGAAAGCAATGCTTTAGCAGCTAAGGAAACCCGTGTTCCTCTATACCACCAAATATTTTTATTTTGCACAAATATTCTAACCAGCAGGCTACTCAAAGAAAGCAGATAATGCAAAACACAGCATTTATGGTTCTAGAAATGTGTCAGACCTCTCAGGTGAGAAGAATTTCTAGTCATAGTTGGGAATTTGTGTTTAAATGTTGAGGTAATTTTAACTCAGGCCAGGCATCAGCTGAACAGTGTTTCTGTCAATCCAGCTTTTAGGCTCAGAAACCTGGACAAATAAATGTATACCTAGACCATTTGAAGGACCCAAAGGACAGAAAAGTACTTAAAAGGTCTAGAGGTTTGTATGAAAGAAAATGTGAGATACTCTATTAGTTTTAAGACCTGAAGAAGTCAATGACCATTGACATCAACAAAAAGAGGTAAAGAAGAGGACTAAATAGCAGCAATAAAATGCTTTAATTCATGCCATGTTGGAAAAGAACAGATTTTCCAAAATCCAAAGAAATCTAAACTTCTGCTTCAATCAGTTCCTTGACTTGCCGTTTCTTGTTTCCTCATTCCTTATCTACTCTATATAGTATGACATGAAGTGGGAATGACAGGGCATTCCTACTGTTTACTGTAAAGGATCACAGCAAACTCTAACTCTTCCTCTGCATGCAAGACACCTTTTGTAACCTTTCCTCTTGAAATCTCATTCAACTCACATCACTCAATAGATTTCTTTTTAAAGAGAATAAAAAAAAAAGATTTATGATATTGTGCCAGTGTTGAAGACTAAGAGGTTCCAGAGCCACTGTTCTTGCAGTTATTAGCTCTCAGATCATGTCTGATATTAAAAAAAAAGTTATTGTATACAATCGAAATAATAACCTGAACCAGAATTGTCACTTTATGCTGTTAACAGCTATAGTAATGATTAAAGATGAGTGACAGGTCATCTGTCATCATATAAAAATTCATTAAATTTCTTTTTCACTTTATACCCCTGAAACAGAAATAAAGAAAAAAAATGTTATCTGAGAAACTACCTAAGAATCCAAATACAAATCTAACACCATTTCTCTGAAATTTATAAACATGAGAAAAGTTATGGATAGTTCTTTACAATAAACAGAGACATGAAAAATAAAAAATTCATATTGAGCAATATTATCTACGTTAACTTGTCCTAGAATGATACTATAGAAGTAATTATACAATTAAGTAAGGTGCTTGTGTACAACTGTAATGAACTCACAAAGTAATTGAAGAACTTCACACTGAGAAAAATAATTTTATCCATTCATTTTCCTGTTTATTTCACACAATGTTCAGAATGAAGCACATGAATAGCAGATTCATGAGCTGATTGGAAAGCATGTGTTAGGTCATGTTGTGGTAAGGTAGATTTGAAGTTTCTTGACATAAAAAAAGGGTTTTAGGTCACAAGACTCAGTACTGATTCAGTGTATGTATTCTTTGGTGTTTGTGTCTCAGTTGCTGTGAGATGCAGGTCAAGGCCAAATTTTATTTACACTCACTAGGCAATCATCAGGATTAGCAAAATGGAAGACAGGCTTCATTAATGTACTACAGCTGTTGGAAACTCTCTTGTTGTAGGATTGATGAAGCTGGGAATAATTTGAGTGTATTAACAAAATTATATAGCAGCTGCTACAAACCTTGAATAATCTTTTTTCCCAGGTCTATTGCTCTGGACTGTTATCCCAGAAGGTTACTCCATAGCTCTATATCCCACATAACCTCATATCTACTCTCAGGGAAATTCACATTTACTACTATTTTTAAATTTTGATTGCAAAAGAAAATTACTTGATGTATTTATTTGCTAAATCTGTTTTAATTTCCATGACTAGTTGAAATATTCCTTCTAATTTACTGAAAAGGTTAAAAAAAATCTGGTTTTGTTTTGTTTTAAATCAAAGCAAAATCAAAGATAAAGTCCCCAGCTTTCATGTGAATTGCTAATTTTGGATTTTGTCTTCTGGTTGCTAGACACTTCAACTGCAGTAATGAGAGAAGTGGGAAGTATCTGATTACAGAAATTAATTTCAGGCAGCAATAAACCTTCAAAATCAAAACGAACTTAACATATTTGGATGTTTGCTCTGTGTAAATCAAATGAATCCCGAGTAGAATTGCAGCAAAAAAAGTTTAGTAAAGGCCATAATTTCATATCGAGGTTTCATTGTCATTTTACATGCATTTTGTGGAGCCATTTAGAACATCTTTAAACTGGGAGAGCAGTTCACATAACACGGTTTTCATACTTTACCACAACTCAGTTTATTAGCAGTGTATGTTTTGACATTCACACAAGCAGTCTTTTAAACAGAAAACTAATTATCATAATTTATTTTTGAACTAGTTTAAAAAAGTGCTGTCTTGAGAGCATTGTAGCAAGACTCTTCATAGGTTTTTTGTTAGCTGAAGAAAAATACTCCTTTCTTTTATATATTGCTAGGTTAATTCTTGAGCTGCTTCAGCAGATATCTTTAAAGCTCCACGGGTTTTGTCTAAGTTCTGCTGTAAATCTGACATGGTTCATTTTGGGTTTTCTGGGGTTTTTTTTTGATATTTCAGTATGAGCTAGAGGTATATATTAAATTACAGCATGTTTCTATATGACTCAGAGGACATAACTCTTTCTTTTAGAATTTCTGCCAAAATAGAAACAGCAATAACAGAAATAAGATTCTGCAGTATACTTCATCATTTTACCTCAGTTAAGTTTTCTGCACCCTAACTCAGGCAGTTAAAGACAACACACTAGCAGAAGTGCATCGGATCTATCATTATTCACAAGTATATTGGGTTTTGATCCGCCATAAATTTTGTTTATACATTATCTGAAGAAGTATTTTCAGACTTACCTTGAAACTTTCAATTAACCATGTTCCAACTATTCAGAGGATCTGAAAGGCATAATAATAAATGCTTAGGTCTTCTATAAAATTGATACCTTAAAAAATCCTGCAATATTACTTCTGGTTTCAAGTAATAGGACACTGAAATCTGTGGAGGACTTGGATATGATGGAAATGTGAAAGCACAAGTTTAATCTTGTGCTTTGAACTTGTGTGTAAAGTATTGCAGTGAAACTTGAGACACTAAAATGTTTCCTAAACTAACTTCCACAGACTGCTGCTGTATGATCTTTCACCAATTTTCTTGGCAGAAGAAAAGTCACTACCCTAGAGAAGAAAGAGAATGATCTTTCTTCATTATAGTGTGCTGTTGTGCAGCAACAGAGTGGAGGTAGGCACGCTCAGGTCATTCTGGAAAGGAATGACCTTCTCAGAGGAAGGGAAAGGAGGCTGCCATGATATTTGGCAAAGACCTGGGAACTGGATGTGTGCAAAAGCATTTTCACAGATTCTGGATTTTGGGGGGAGGGGGGTGGGGGGAAATTGCAGCAGATAACCATGTGTCTCTTCTTATCCCTAAATCCATACTTATGAGAAAAACCAAGAACAGCAAGTGAAATGCTTTCTTTGGAGCCTAATACTGTAGGTTCAGGCTGACTAAATCCTAAGTGGATCAGCCCTTTTTAGGCTCAAACTAGACGTTCTCTGGGTTCCTTTGATGACTTAAACCTTATAGTTTACTCTTTTAAAAAAAATTACTGTATTTCAATGGGACAATGATTCATCATACAATACTGAGGGATTTACATGAAATGCAAGACATTATGTTATTATATGTCTAGATGCATGTAAAATATTTTCATGATGATTAGTATAAAAACAGTATCAACTGAATCAGAGATATATGAAAATGCAGAGATATATGAAAATGCTGTACTTTCTTTTTTCCCCCCATAGTTTAGTTAATGACTAAGATCAAAAAGCCAAATATATCAACAATTTTTAGAAAACTTAATAAATAATATTTTTCAGCACATAATGTTAAGGAATTATTCTCTTAGCTTGCCAAAAGTAGTGAATAATATATTTTTTTGGTACACATTATTACAGTGTTAATCAAGCTATTTTGCTATTCACATAAATGTGATGAATTTAGATGACAATTATTTTCTAGACAAAATTCTTTAATCGGAGAAATAGACAAATTCAGCTGTATTGTTATATGAATCTTCACTGAGTCCTAAACACAAAAACATTAAGAGGTAAATTTAGATCAACATTCCTAGCTGTGGAGCAGAACAGTGACTGTCCTTCAGAAAATTTTCAACCTTAAGGAAACATAAAAAAGAAAGTAAAAATCCCTACCACTCCCATGTTTTTCTCCTATGAAACAATCTGTAGCTAACAACAGATTATAAACTAGGTTTTTTTCAGAAGAAAGACTGTCTTTATAAATGCCTGTAATATTGGTTGGTGATAATCTAGGGAAAAGATTCTTCTTTCTGTTGAAGGACATTTTTTTTGCCAAGTTTTACAAGAACTCTTAATGAATTCTTTGTTTCTTTTCTGCCAAGATCTGGACAAAGTTCCAAGACAGTATTTCTTGTTCAGACTCAGATGTTTATTAGTTCTTATCTCTGTTACAGTCTCACAAGCTGTAAGTTCTACAGTACTTTAACAAGGTAAAAAATGGCAACATATCTCTCTCTACAAGGTCTTTTAAGGATAAACTGTCCAATTAAGAAATGGCACCTACATTATTTTTGCTTTTAACCCAATAACCAATCACGTATGCCCACAATGCGGATTTTTTATCCAATTACACAATACCATCCAAACCCATGAAGAAGATGAAGAAGAAGGTAAATAAGAATGACCAGCTCCCACCCTAAAACCTACATCTTGCTTTATATATATTACTATATTCTAAAGCCTTAAACTCTAAGTTTTGCACCATGTGGTATTACACTCTTGTATTCAAACTACACACCCATAATCTTAGTTCTATCATTCAGTTTTGGAAGCCTTCTCCACGGCCTCAGGTCAAATGTAGTTTTTTCTTGGGGGTCAGTGCCTGACAGCACAGAAAATCTAAAATTCTCAGCATCCATGATTCCAACAGTTTCATACCTAAGAAGAAACCTCCCATTCCAAAAAGTGCAACTACTGTGGGAAGCAGAAGCCATTGGCTTGATACACTTACTCAACTGCCAGTGTATCAATAGGTAGTAGGAGAAGGAAATCTTGTGTCCTCACAAAAAAATTTGTAAGGGTCTGTTCTCTTCTTTTCAAAAACACAGTGCTGTCTAAACATTAATAAAAACAAATAATCTAAGTTGCATGTATCTGGATCCTTTCAATCCATGCAAGAATAAAACACCTGATAGTCTGGAACTAAAGGCACTTTGGTTTCTTAGTGTTAAAAAACCTTTATGACGTTCTGTTCGAACACACCTGATGTGAACAGCAATCTGAAATTATAAAGATCAATAACAATGTAATATTACAGGCAAGAAAGATATTGGTAAAAGTTGTCATTTGTCCCCAAAACAAAGTAGACGTACTAGAGGCATTTTGATTTTCGCAAAATTTTGTTTTAGCAGTTTCAAATAGTGAGTGGTAACTTATGAACTAAAAGATAAGATGGATAGTAGGTATGAGAAGAAAAGATATTTCATTATTATTATTCTTGCTATGTATGCACTCGTTACCTATGAAGATTAATGTTGCCATTGCTAAGATGGGAGTATAAATCTTGTATTAAGTAGCTCTCCAGGAACAATAGGTATAGGAGAAACCTGTGTTTCTTATCATAGACATAACACAGACTCCATTTACAAAAAAAATAATATGCAACAAAATTATCTGAGTGATCACATTCCTTATTGGGACAGCCCCAAATTCTTTATCATTCAATTATAGGCTCAGTTTCAGGAAAAGGCAGTGTGCCTACCACAGTCTGTTTCTATTAGACCACACATCATCTGTCTCTGTGCTGAGAGAGGGCTGGTGCTCAAGCGCCAGGCTGTTGCTCTCTGCATCGTGTGCTTGCTGCACTCCTCGCCTGTGAGTGTCTGAAATGTCTTGTAAGAGTGGTGCTGTACTCTGCATCCTTGGAGCTGGCTCCAACAGGCAGAACAGTCCACATTGCACCAGGAGTGGCAGTCCCCACCTCCCACACTCTTCCAGCACTATCCTCACCAGGCTTCACACCTTAAAGCACCCCTCAACACGCTTGCGTCATAAGTAAGGGTGTACAGATCACCCTGTGAAAACCAGACTTGGACAGGCTATGAAACAACTGCCATTAACTTTGAATATAAAAAGAAAATTCATAAAAAATTGCTATGGTTTTGGGGTCACATAAGGATGAGAGTGAAGTTGCAATGCATGTATTAACAGTGAGGGTGTGCCTAATTCTCTATGCTGTTTTGTTTGTCGCTAATGAAGTAGGCAGTGACTGTCATTGGGAGAATCAATAACAAGAGATTTGTATGGTAAAGGCCTTCTGAGTCACATCAAATGCTTGTTTCTATTTTTTCCAAAATAAAATACATCATAAATGGAAATCGAGGAAAGAATGAAAATTTGAGAAGTATCTGTGACACTTTTACCTCATGTGCTTCCCAGTGTTTTTCAGTTCTGGAGTCAGAAGTTGTACATATACATTAAATAGGCATCTTTGGTCTCCTTTTCCATGAGTTTTCCCCATGTATCCTTCAGTCCATGTTATTTTTAGAATTTCCAGCATTCTTTGGAGCAGTTTCACTAGGCTACAGCTACTGACTGGAGAACAAATTCCCTAAAATTGTTTTGAAGCTGACTCCTACAAAATTCATCTATCCCTCCTTTTATTTTGGACAATTTATATTCCCAATGGTCTATCAGTCCTTACCCAACCTCTCCCAGACACTCTTTTTAAAAGAGATCTATTGTAATATCTTTTTGTTTTTGTCATTTTCCCTCCGTTTTACAGTCTTCTCTTAGTTCGTTATTTGATAAAAAGAAGCAGTGCAGTTTGATACATCTGTTAATCCTTGTTCTCCTTTCCTGAATCTTTTCCTGTTTTCATCGATTCTGTTTAAAAGGGAAGAGAAAGGGGTGATTCCAGAGAATTACACAATGAGATATGATGTTCTCTTTTTTTATTCTTCACTACTTTTTAAAATTATTATTACCTCTGATTTGCCTGTCTTACCAATATTGGGCTGACATTTTCATAGAGCCTTTTATGATGACCCAAGGTTTTGTTCCAGAGTGATAATGATCAATTCAGGGCCCATTGTGCTGTGTGTGTAGGCCTGCTCATTCCCCTATACATGGCTTGACATTTATCTATACCGAATTTCATCTGCCATTTTACTGGCTACTCATTCATCTTCCTCAGGTTCTCATGTAATTCTTCATGGTCTACCTTCATTTTTACTGTCTTGAATAACTTGTTATCAGCAGTAAACTTTGCCACTTCACTAATGGCTTCCAGTTCCAGGTCATCTATTAACATATCAAACTGCACAAGTCCCAGCACATACCTGTGTGGAATTCACTGTTGATTACTGCAAAAAATATTAATTCCTACCCTCTGTTTCATCATTAACCAAATGATGGAGTAAAGTGAAGAACTTTATCTCATGCTGCAACTAATTAAGCTCTTTAAAGCTTCGCATGACAAATTAAACCAGAAACTTAGTGGGAATCCAGGTGGGATATATCAGTCAGAATACCCTTACCCACATGCTGAACTTTCAAATATCTGTAGTATGTTTATGGTACAGGATTTCCCTTCAAGAATCTGCATTGTCTCTTCCCCAGTGTATGGTCAGATTTATGTTTATGACTATTAATTTGTGCATTATTATAGGCTATACTAATCTGCCTTGTTGGCATATCAGGTTTATGTACCCTGGATTTCTTGGAATCTCACCTGGGATCAATTTAAAAGGTACCTTCATATCTCCCAAGTACTTCAAGTACCAGGAGGATTTTAAGTAAATCTTGGGTGCATATAATTTGATCTTGCCAAATAGTCAGTGTTCTTTTGATCATTGTTGCTAATTTTATTCCACTGAATGAGGTTTAGCAGATTGTTCTCTTTCCATCAAGTTTCTGGTACGTCTGCTGTTGCTTTATTCATGTTCCTTCATTTGACAGCTTATACTTTATATTGTTACCGTACAGGTTTGATTCTCTTCCCAGGACCAGTTTAAATCATACTCTCTGTTTGACTAATTCCATTCTGTGTTCTAGCCTTACAGAGACTAAAAAAATTTCCATACCATCATCCGTAATAAATATGTCATCTCCACCTCTCTGCTGTTCTGGATATGTCTGCTTACTCTAATTTCTTCATTTAAAAGTTCACTCTCAACTTCCTTGATATTGAATGGTAGCAGCTTGACCCACTTGTCATTCAGAGGAAGTACCTCTCTTCTATGACCATCCACTGTGTTAGAAGCTTCTGCTGCCTCTTACTCCTTACTGCTGGCTTCTCAGCCCAGCATTAAAAGTTTGCCTCTCTTTCTTCATCTCCAGCACCACTGAAATGGCAGAGAGCATTACAAAGAAAACCACTTTGATGGTTTTAGTACACTTAAAACATTCTTCAAACCCTAAAATCGACTCCATCTCTCTCTTTTACTCTGCTATTTTTATTCCCATGCACACCAGCTACACACCACCTCTGCTGGTTCCTAGCAGTTGGTGGAGACATTTCATAAGGTCTGACACATTTGTGCACTTGGCAAGCAAGTCACCATGAAATTCTCTCTGCAGTCACAAGCCCAGCTTGCTATTTTTCTGGTAGCAATTGCCCACCACTGCAATCTGCCTCTTGCTTCCAGCCGAGCCTCTGCGTAAAGAGTCATTTCCTTGGCACAGGATGGCAGATGAGCAAGGCAGACTGGGATCCTTTACCCTTCACCCACCTGATGCCTCCCACCCTGCCACCAACCCCCAGCTGGGGCCTCTTCTTTGGTCTCAGTCCCTCTGAGATGCCAATCCAAATTGCAAATATGATCCTCTCTGTGCATCTGTGCTGTTTCTCAACAGTACTGGCTTTGCTGCCTTGAAGAAGAGATGATTAAGTACCTGTAAAAGCTCTTGAAGAATCTCTCCAGACCCTGAGATAATTGACATCACTTGCTCTAGCCTCAAAAAATTTAGAAATTAATTTCTAATGTAAATATTCAAGTCTGATTTAACAATTAGCTTAAAAAAACCCAACTAACTTTTAATTTCCCCGTATGTTTATAGATGTTTTTGACAGTCGTATCCTAACTATAACTATTTTTCAATGCTAAATTTTCACATAACAGCCTAAGCAAAAAATAAAAGTTATTGACCTCTATACCAGCACAGATATTGCAGAGTTCACCCAAGTATTTTCCCAGAAATCTTGATAAATTTTGTAATTTATAATAAACTTTTTAACTTTAATTCTTATAGACATATTTTAGTCAAATTCAAATTCAAAAACTCCAATACAATGGAAAATTTAAATTTTAAATTGAATATAGATAAAGCAGTCAGTTTACCATGTTTGATGAAACACACAGTATATAAACTGTATCTTCTCCATCTCACATACCCATGCGTCTGTTCAATGTTAAAGATATTGAGGTTTAAAACAAAAGCACATTCATCTACTGCCAAAAAAAATGAAGCTGCAGTTACATGAAGCCAGACAATGCACTTTTCAGAGCTGATAAGAAAACAAAAAAGACCCTGTTATTTTCACACAATGCCAAATGCTGCTTGCAATATGCTGCTTTCATATTTTATTTCTTTACTATTTTGTTTTCAGTAATGCCTATTATTTATTTTTAACTCAATTCATGTACTGTGCCATTTTTTACTTCAGCTACTGAATAAAGAAAATATTTGAAACAGCATTTCTGTGCTGGCACCCCAGATGTATCACTTGCTTCCTGTAAATATTTGTTTTTTTTCATTTCTGGAATATGAAGCGCAGTGACAAGTCTTTTCAAAATGGCTTTTTTTTGAGATGGATTACTTTTCCTTTCTGTAGTTCTGTATGATTTGTTTGTGAAGAACAGTGGGAAACTCATATAAAGCTTACTATATAAATTAGGATTGTAGCTATTAAGACTTTAGTTTATTATCAACATTTTTCCATTCTTTTTGTAAATCATAAATAGTTTCAAGGAATATTAATTAAAGCAAAGGTTCACATTATTTGCTGTAAAGCTACATCAAACAAAGAGAAAAAAATACATCGCATATTATCAGGGTTTAAATACTGATTAGAATGCTGAAAATTTCTAGGGAGAAGACTTTTTTTGCCAGATGCTGTGCACAGGGAACTATATCTTCAAACTTCACATATTTATGTCTTTGCTCCCCATCACAAGATGGTTTTCCCTAAAAGATGATTGTACAGCTATATTGCCTTTTTAGTTGAGCATTTTACATGAAGACCTGCATTGTAAAATAGTACTCTTCCCATTTTACAGGTGGGGAATGAGGCATTAAGAAAAAAAGCAGTTTTTAGATCAATGAAAAGTAAGTGATTTGAAGGCAAATTTAAGTATAGTGATATAATCATGGCTGTCTCCTACGGGAAGTTTATCTACTTTCTATGGGTAGGTATAATAAAAAAATAAAGAGAATATCCAGTTTCTGTCAAACTAAAGCAGCACAACTTTACATGTGAAGTACTGAAACCTTGTTCCTTTGTTATCTTGTAGACTTGTGTGGAAATGATTTTCCATAATTGATATGAATATATTTTTAAAACAATTCTATAAATCCCTCTTCAGTAGTTCAAGGACCAGTACTTACATGAGAACATAAAAGCTGGAATAGTTGTTACTCCCTTCTCATTACTATTCTTGCTTGGTAAAAGAACTTCAGCATTACAGTGAATACAAGTGAAAAGTAGTCTGTAGAAGAGAAATAGACACAATAATTATCAACCAATAAAAGGAAAAATACTATAGACAGCAACAGTGATAAGCCTTTAAGCTTGGGCAGTTTCAGTTCTCACCTAATAATACACAGTTTATTTGTCTGGATGCATCCTGAATATTGAGGTAGCATGTCTTTGTCACCAGTAAGCTGTAAACAAAGTCCACCTTTGCCATTTGATAACACACAGCCTTTGTTTCTGTTAAGGATCTCAGGTGTGCTTGCACATCCAGAAGCCTTTACTCAGAACAAAAGGAACAGATGGTTCTGATGTCTTGCTGTGGTCACCTCTTCTTCTTCACATTTCTTTGTCTGACATGCAGAAATCACTCAGTTGTTTGTGTTGTTCCTTTGTTTTCTGAAATAGCCCTTAAGCAGTACATCTGTGAGCCTTTCAGCTGCAAAATGATAGTTTTTCTTCTGTATGATCATCTACTTGAAGACAGGAGATCTAAAGTCAGTCTCAAGTATTAGGAATTATTTAATGTTTATATTTTGTGTCTTTTTAAAGTTTGATTTCCTTGTGATCTCACCCTTTTTGTTGGCATCAGGGCATAGCTGATGGCAAATGCCATTTCAAGATGAGATCCCTGCATGTCTAAAGGGAAATGTAATGGGAAGGACTGCCTAATGGAGCACCATCTATGCTAGTGTGATTTCTCTTGAAAAGCAGAGAAAGATGGTGATTGATTATGAAAATACAGATTAATATGCTACAAAACCAGTCCTCTCATCAGGGACAAAGGAGAAAAGGAGGCCTGTGGAACATGAGAAAATCACCAATATCCTCATGCACCTTTGCTGAGGAGTCATAAGCCTAGGCAGTTTTGCACTGAAAGAGTTTATATGGTTGTTTTATGCCAGTCTGCCACTTTTCCCCAATAAACCTTACATTAAGCTGAAATAGGGGATTGTCTATAATATATTCTTCTACAACTCATTAAAAATCATATCAACATCTTGACAATGTTTCTGTACCTGCTTTTCAGGGAAGGATGAAAAAGGAAATTTAGTGTGCTGCTGGTTTCTCCCAACTCACTCATACTCAAGAGAGCCTTTGGTTTAGCTGAGTTAAAAGATGTTCAGGTTGTATCTGACCCATCCCATGCACGACTACATAATGCTTGACATATACAGATATCTGACAAATAGACCATATCTGGAGTCAGCTAATTATTAAGCTTTTCTGAAACATTGTATACAAATACACATTGGGATACAAATTGGTAGAAATTTAAGTTTCATTAAATAATCTGTCAAATCACAGATTCTTTGAGGAGAAATGAAGAAATAGCAGTAAAGAATGAGGAAATATTAAGACAGAATTTCTATGATAATTTGAAATAAAGACACATCCAATACTGAATTCTTCAAAAAATGTAGGCTTCCTTTTTCTCCTGAATATCTGACCACTTTTTCTGAAGTTTTTTCTTTGAGTGGCCTTTTCTTCCTCTTGCTTAATAACCTCTCAATCTGCTTCCAAGTATCTCTGGTTTCATGTATTTAAATGTGATAAATTCAGATGGAATTTCTTAGAGAACATTGGAGGTAAGAGAGTCTGACCCTTTTTCTCCCCCATTCTTTCCCCTTCTTTTTCTTTTTTTATATATATATTTTTTTTTTAATATGGTGTGACGTTGGGTTATGAACAAAGTTTCATTTTTTCTCATATAACTGAAATGATTCACACTTTAATGCAATATGTAGAGCTGGAATATTTTGTGAGTTACTTTCACATGCCATGCAAGAGATTTTATGTTCTTTCAAAACTTACAGATGGATCCTTTTCATCAGGAAACTTTGAAGAATTTGGACACTATACATATGCTCTTCAAAATTTTATGAGTTCAACAAAGATCAACTTCACTGTAAGAGGCTGTAGAGGGGGAGGGCACAGGGTTGGGCCAGTTCACATGAAAGTTCTTAATTTTTATTAAAAATTTAGGATAAAATATTTTAGGTTATGTTAAATACTTCATTCAGTTTGCTTTAATATTTTGGTATTGCCTATAATCAGCTTCTACAAGCAATACCAAATACTGATATGTCTAATTCTAGCATTTTGTGGTTCTTAGCATGCAGTGATACTAAACTTGATACTAAACTTAGTTATTTTAAAATTTGACTTTCACCCTTGATAATTTGAATGCTATAAAACATACAAAACTCTCAATACTGTTCAGATAATATTAGTTCTCAATATAAATACTGTCTGTCTCAAAAGCCCTGACCAGCCTTGCACAGGAACCTTCATTCAAACTTGGGCTCAGGAACTCCATTTAAAGTTGGGTCTGGGCTCCCACTTTTGGCCTGACTTCTGCTGTGATTGTGCCATCTCCAGTCCTGTGTCTGGCCCTGCCTCCCTGGTGAATCCTGTTGCTCTCTGACATGTATCCATTATGGGCTAGTTGGTGTTTGAATATAGCACTTTTGGATTTGAGCAAGAGATGGACAGTCAGGTAGTTCTCTGGTCAGGACATGTAGCAACCTTACATGAGCATCTTTTGCACAGGGCTGTGGATCACATACTGTCAAACTGAACCATTTTCAAAAGAAAAAAACACTTTCATAGAATTATATTTATAATGTGTTTTTCTTTTCCAATCAAATAAGGAAACTATATTTGCCACTTTGTCAGTTGGATACCATCATCTGACTTCCATTAGGTCTTTGCAATATCTGAAATGACCTTAGGTAACCATTCATTCTGATTTCTGTCTCAGGCATTTGTTTACAGGTGAATGCAGTTCAGTCATATCAGCAACAAAATTTTTCATATTATTTTTGACAAAATTCAATGGAATGATTGACAGCAAAGGAGGCCATCAGTCAATAAAGGTGGAAGCCAGTATAAATGATGCATTACCCTACTTTCCAACCTGTGAGCAAAGTCACACAGGGCACTAGGAAATGGAAACAGTGCTGAATGAAAAATAAGATATTGTGCATATGTGCAGAGCAATTTTAGCTCATGAATTTGTAAAGGTGTCAAGTTGTTATACAAACAAGAGAGGGGAATCATTCTGGTATTCTCTCATTAACTCTTCAGGACCTGTAAATCATAGTCATTGAAATTTTAAGCTAGATCCAAATTAGCCCCCAGTAACAATTGAAACTCTTTGATTGGGTGGAATCTCATAGTAGGATCTTAAATACATTCCATTAAAAAAAACCCCAAACACCAAAACCAGGCAAATAAAATCTTATCTCACAAACATGCATGGACAGAAACTATCCCTGCAGACAAACCCATAGAATAGAGCCAAGAAGTGCATTATCTATGACTAACAGCAAAATGACTAATAGTAAAATGCACACCTATGCAAAGCTCACAAGGCAGATGCACAGTTTTGAGCAGGCATTAATGAGCTTATGAGCACAAAGCCTTCTCTAACTCCCATATTATTCTTAATATCCATCAATTTGACATGGACACCAAGCTGTGTAATGCAGTCAATATGCTGGAGGGAAGGCAATGCTATCCAGAAGGATCTTGACAAACTTGAGAGGTGGGCCTGGATGATCCTCATGAGGTTCAACAAGGCCAAATGCAAGGTTCTTCACCTGGGCCAGGTGAAGCAGGAGTACAGACTGGGCAGAGAATGGATTGAGAGCAGCCCTGAGGAGAAGGCCTTCAGGGTTCTGGTGGATAAAATCTGGACATCACTTGGCAATGTGATGGTCCTTGCAGCCATATGTTTCCTGCACTGCATCAAAGCCAGGCTGGCCAGCAGGTTGAGGAAGAGGATTCTTTCTTTCCACACTGTTCTTGTGAGACCCTACCTGAAGTGCGGCATCCACCTCTGGGGTCACCAGCCCAAGAACCAAGAATGTGGATGTGTTGGAGTGAGTCCAGAGGAGGGCTACAGAAATGGTCAGGGAGCTGAAGTACCTGTCCTGTGAGGAAAGGCTGCTCAGTATGGAGAAGAGAAGGTTTCAGCAGACCTCATAGCAGCCTTCCAGCACCTAAAGGGGGCCTACAGGAGAGCTGAAGAGGGATTTTTCACAAGGGCATGTAGTGACAGGATTTAATGGCTTTAACCTGAAGGAAGGCTTAGATTAGATATTAGAAAGAAATTCTTCACTGTGGTGAGATACTGGAAGAGGTTGCTTAGGGAAGTTGTTGACACATCACCCCTGGAAGTGCTCAGGGCCAGGTTGGACAGTGCTTTGGGCAATCTGATCTAGTGGAAGGTGTCCCTAGGGGCAGCTGGAACCAAATGAGGCCTAAAATACCTCCCAGCCCATAACATTCTACGAGTGTATGGAACAAGATTTTTATTTTGACTTATCAGAGACATACTTAGGAAGGGATATTAAGGAGAAGGAAAATTAGATACTGAGTTTTTTAAACACTGTCTAGGCCTGGAACAGAAATGTAGTCACCATATTTCTACATATTTCTCATGTAACAGTGGCATTTGCTAACTGCAGACTTGAGTAAATCAGATTTATTATACCATACTGGGAGGATGAGTGATCTCAGACACATAATTAAAATGCCTTCCTAATATGTCTGCATTTGGAAAATGTTCCCTTTGAGAGCATGTGAAATTCCTTGCCAGATGAGATCAGACTTGAAAGCTATGATTAGGTGAATTAAAGTACAATTCACCTAATACAAATACCATTTCATTTTGGTAAACAAGAAAATAAATTAAAATGATGCTTCAAGAAAAATGCAATTTAAAATTGCACTCGTTCTCAACAGTTTTATGGAAAAATGTTTTTTTCAAACATAAGAATAGAGAAAAGTTGTTTATTTACAGATTACTCTTTGTCCACATTTATTTCAGTATGTCAAATTCAGCCTTGTTTGAAGGCAGTTGGTGATGTGAGGCTAATATTTTTTTTCCAGAAAACAAAATGTTTCCTCAAAAACTCCCAGATGGATTTTGAAATATGTTCCTGAGCTGTAAGTTAAGGTAAAAACCTGAAGAGCAATTCTAAGTATTATTCTATATTACTAAAAACT